GGCTATTGCTACAAATATACCCCAGCGACTTAAGACTGCTTTTGTGCTGCAGGGTCACAAATGAGGAACATCATAAGGACTTTATCGTAAGAGTCGCTGTATTTGCAGAACACAGGCACGATATAAACTAATGACAGCGCTGTCTTCCGTAGAGCTGCTTCACAGCTGAAGGCATTTCATGAATGATGAATTATACAACATTAACACTGATATTTTCATGTTTATTTCCATGAAGCTGCTTTGAAGCAATCTGTATTGTATAAAGCCCTATAGAAATAAATATGACTTGGCATAAGCTGGATTATCACACAGTCTCGAGCAGAAGTGAAATACAGCCAGTTTAGTCACTCGTTAACACAGATTCATGTTTACGCCATTACAGTACATCAGATCATGTGTCTCTGTGTGTCGCTCACCTTATACGAGACTTTGACGACAGACGGCGCCCACTTATCAAACTCATAGACCCAGTTAGACAGAGTCCTGTCAGAGAAACACAGTGTTCATCAAACAGACTCTCTGTGTGAACATACAGAAGTAAAAACAGGCAGAGCGACTGACGAGAGCGGCACGATGATGAGGTAGGGTCCGTTCAAGCGCTTGTACTCCATCAGGTACGTGATGAGAGCGATGGTTTGGATGGTTTTGCCCAAACCCATCTCATCCGCCAGGATCCCGTTCAGATTGTTGTTATAGAGAGACACCAGCCACTCCAGACCCTTGACCTGTGGAGAAACAGTCACAACATCAACACATTCAGCTGCTGCCTGCGGTTTTGTCTGTCTGAAGTCTCTTCGTTTGGATTGTTTTATATTGTTTCAGTCAGTTTTCTGTTTGCAATCACTAGAGCTCTCTTAGTTTGTTCTTAATGTGTGTGTTTTGTGTGTATCAGCGACTCTCATCAGTTGTCCATTAATGTTGAAAGTGTTGATGTTGAACGACTGGTAAGAGCTCAGAATGACCTGGTATTGCTTGAGTTGACCGTTGATTAGCAAAGACGACTGTTTGTCCACCCGCTCAGTGACCGCATGAGCCACGGCGTAATACGACTGTAACCCACGAGCAAACGCTGCGCTGCCGTACTCATCATCCACGTCCTGTTTAGCATGCCTGCAAAACACACACACACACACTCACATAAGAGACATGAGAGACACACACATAAGAAACATGATACACACACACACATAAGAGACATGAGACACACACACACACACACACACACACACACACACACACACACACGAGAGACAAGAGACACACA